CGTCGTGCTTGTGTTTCTCCAGATCGATGTCGTCCATTGGTGGCGGAGACTGGAGAGCTGGGTCTCTGAAGGGGTTCTCTGGCTGTTGTGGCCTTTCCTTCGTATCGATACGGTATCCATTGGCGTCGACTGGGCCGGGGAAGTAGCCTGCGTCAGAAGCGTACATTGGCGCTGGAGTTTGCGTTGCTGGCGTGTTGTTCGCCCATGTGTTGGTGCGAGTGGTCTCTCCAGACTGGAATGGGAACTGGCTCTGTTGAGGTGCGACAGGTTGAGGCTGGTACTGGTTCGATTGGAGCTGTTGCTGTTGCTGCTCTAGTGGCTGTTGCTGCTGCTGAGGGTTGGACAAACGGGAGTAGTTGTTTACATCCCGGCTTGACTGAGGCGAGTGTTGAGATTGACGAGGTCCAGAAGGCAGTCCATATTGGCCTTGCTGCTGGGGAGTCTGCATACGAGGACCCGAAGGTAGGCCATACTGGCTCAGTTGCTGTGGCTGAGGTGTATATTGGGGTTGTTGTTGCTGGTCGGAAGCGAGAGGGAATCGTCCATTCTCGAAATTAGGGCTGAAGTTGTCCTTTGTGCCAAAGGACAAACCTTCTGGTTGGTAGCGAGTATCCATTGTGAAGTGAGAGAATAGGTGGCCTGCACCGTAAGAAGACTAAAAGATGGACGTGACGGCAGATAAAGAAAATAAACCGAAAGAAACTATGACCACAAAACGCGCAATAGGGACAAGTATTGACCTGCACGGGGCAATTTGATAGAAACCCAAGAGGCGATGCTCGGGATTACACCAGTGTATTAACACGCGCCGAGCGGGATCAACATGGGGCTGTCTCTTTACTATCGGTCCTGTTTCGAACGGCGTGCCAGCCTAGCGCCAAAGGCCTCTGGCAGCTAGTCAGAGAGCCTCCTAGGAGTAATGGTGGGATCTCAGAGTGCTTGGCGAGGACGAAGTGTTGCGTATGTCCTCCTGGTATCCACATCAAAGCGTCGAATAAGCTCCGGGCTGCAGCCAACGCACGTGCTGCTAGATAACGACCTGAGGTCGTCTTCGCTTCATCTAGTCCCAGGAATGGAAACTCCACCTTGGCAGTGCACGATGCGCCAAGACGTTTGATCTAGCTTCCGTCGCTTAGCACCTTCAAGACGAATGCTTATCGCATTCTTTGATCTGCACTGTGGCTATGTTGCTTGCGTATCTCGTGGATAACTTAATGTATGCCGGACCATTCTCGTCTGTTGAATCCACTCAGTGTCGATATGGCGATTTCCACGTCGTATGAGTATACGGGGGTGCCCTTTCTTACACCATGTCCGTTACATGGAAACATTTTACAACTCATATCTCTAGGGTCTAGAGCAAACCTGACGCATCGCTTCAAGAGCAACAGGACCGAATCGCTCTGACACGGTATCGGCTTCGCGCCGCGGAGCAGGGTGAGTCCCTTGGACTTCAGAGAACCCCTGGTCGGCTGGCTGACGGTCTCCAATTTGGATCACCATGAGATGGTGCGGTCCGGGATCCTCCGAATTGGCCAGGGTATTTCCTAAGCGCGGAACGTGGGCAACGAGAAAATAAGATGCGGCTCAAGCTGTTGAGCGGCGGTGATTCGTGGTCCAAAAAGGGGCGTCGAAACGGATGACGAAACGCTTAAAGCGGAGCCCGTTGCGTCGGCTTTGATGCCAAGCATCCCGCGCAAGACGCACCAAAACAAGGGGCCACCGTTTCGCAGCCCGAAGAAGCCACAACCGCATACTAGAACAGAGATAAGGTTGAGGAAGTTTGACACCGGCGGCACTTGATGCTTGTGGGCGCTCGAACCTTGTCGGGCCAAGATCGTCGCGACAAAATCTCGAAGTCGTCTCAACAATGCCAGAAACCCCGCCCAAAATCCACTCTGATGTTTGACTCTGCTTCGGCCAAGGCTAAGCCTTAGGCAAAAAGCCTATCTTAACCCATCGACTTCTCAAAAAAGCGCCGGGCCCCCACGTGCGTTCGAGAAGCCTGCCTATAGAGTTGATGCTGCCACGCAAGGTGAGCGCGTACAAGCTTGGAGGTTGCTTGGAGAGAGAGGGTGCTCATTGTCCAATTCGATGTAAACCTTCAAAGTTGATCATCGCCATGGCTCCGTCGCGGGTGGATAACATGCACTGCTTCGCGTACGGTGGGTCTGTGATGAAGAGGTGCTTTCTGGGCGTGGGCGGTGCATTCTCAACGCCTTCTCGAATTCGTGCCACCAATCGGACCGTGATCCAGTGTTCGAGGCAGTGCTGTCGATGCGTCGATGACGCGCAGAGCCCAACGTTGATGCAAATTGTGAATGATCAGAGGCAAGGGATGTGAAGATGGTCAACGGGGCAAGAGCTGCCGGATGATGATGATGATGATCTGCACCTGGGCATGAGGCTGAACGCTAAAAAGCGGGCTAAGCCGTGCACTTGCCAAGAAAAGCCTTTGGGCACTTTTTCACATGTCAACATTGCTCTGACCACATCATGCACCCCGTTGCTCGCGGGCGAACAGGACGGCGCGTCGCGGAGCATTGCGGAAGAGACAAGGGTTCGCCAAGCTGATATGTGTGTATATGTGTAGCGTCCTTGGTCGTAAATAAATTGCGCTCATCATGTCCTCTCAATGCTCTTATGTTGCATTGTTGGACATCAATTGCTGGTTACTTTTCAAATATACAGGTGTGCTGCAGATGCGTAGTACCGTACGTTCAAGCGCCTGTGTATGTGAATGACTTTGGCATGTGTTCTCATCTAAGTAATGCCGCTGAAGTCTCGTATCCAGTGTGATCCAACGTAATACCTGCCCAGAAAACGCCCGAGAACACCCGGCTTACTATTAGAAAATCCTTCCTTCCTTCAGCATTGCCCACAGTGATAGATCCTCATCTTGGTTCAGATCGATCGCGCATCGCTATCCTTTCTTACGTTCGGCGAACCTTGTTGCCTCACCCTCCTGAGAGTCCAGCAAGATCCACATTGCGGCCTCAGCTCAAACACGAAACAACCATAAATGAAGGTGAGAATAGCTCATGTAGAGATCAATATATGGCTATTATTCGTACCATGCCTTCCTGGTCAGCTCTAAAGTAGCGATTGATGACAGTACATCAAGAATGCGTCTAGACTGTGTCGTTGTCCCTAAGCTTCTACATCTTGCTAGCTTCCCTGAGCACCTCTCGGGTCAGCACTTCGCCTTTCTTTCTCACCTCGCTAAGTCTGCCCATCTTCAACAGCCTTCCTATCATCTCCTCGTCTCCGTGATGGCTGTTGTGCTCAAACTCCGGCTCTTCGCCATATGCTACTCTGGCTGCATCGACTAGTATCCTTGCTGTCATACCAAACACTCTAAACGTTGTGAGGGCATCGATGGCGCTAGGTTCCGGCCTCGGGTCATCTCCATCGGGTAACTTTTGTTGCAACGAGGGCTCTGGTGAGGATTGTGGAGAGGATCGCGAGGGATTGCGTAGCAAGGATGGAGATGGAGGAGGCCGTGGCATGTAGAAGTTGTGCATTCGCCAGCGTGATTCGTGCCAGTCTGTCCAAGAACCTCGATACCACTTTTCAGGCCTGCCGTCTTTCTGGACTGGGGGTGGACCTTCACCGTCCCACTCCTTGCGCAAGAAATTATGGAACGGCGCGGTGAAAACAGCAGCAACTTCTCTGGGATCGAGTCGCGGCATAAGCTTCTCTTCAACAGAAAGGCCACTCGTCTCGGAGGAAGCAGATACGTAGGTAGGGCGCAAGAAGGCAACGCAGGGCCGCACCCCAAGTTCAGTCTTGGCCAGATTTGCGGGAAGTTCGCAAAGGTGTTCAACGGTAAAACCCCGAAGTTTGTCGTCGTTCATAGGAAGACCGATTTCTTCGTCAGCCTCGCGACGCGCGACGTCCCATGGAGATTCGTCGAGTGTGTCAGCTTTGCCTGAACTGTGTCAGTAGGCAAGTCTGATGTCATCCCCCGCATGACTTCTGAGCAAGTACCTCCAGGCAGCGCAGCTTGTCCTGCGTAGTTGCGCAACTGAGCGCTTCGCATCGTAAGGACCACCTTGAGCTCGCCATGACGGTCCGGAAAGAGCAATATGAGGACGGCGGCGCGTCTGGTAAGGGGGCAATTATACCATTGCGTTGGCGGAGGCGTATATGTGCGGAGGCGGTCCAGTGCGCGCTGTCAGAGTGATTAGCAGATGGCAGACGAAAGGGCTATGACCTGATGAAAGGAGCGGAAGCCTCCAACGCCGAAGGCACAGACGTACAACAGATCTCTGGGAAAGCGCCATGCTCGCAATGGCTTTGCTTTGGGCGAGCCATGCTGTCGGTCTCATGAGGTTGCGCGTGCGTCGGAGCCGGGGCGGGAGCATGAGACTCGGTGGGGTTTATGGGCCGAGGTTATCGATAGGCGATGGCATGCAGGAACCTCGTGGCAGCCCCCAGAGCCTCCCGCACCCTAAATAGATGCCGTGCGGAGACACAGTATACTCAACGTCAATGCTCGACAGACAATGGTTGTAGTTCAATCACCCAGGCATCGCAGCAGACGAGCATGTTAAGTAACTTGCATGCAATTGAATCGCATCTCTATATGACAGGAAACTCCCGATCGTTATCATCGACATGCGTGGCATCGGAACAGTGCTACAAATCCCACCGCGTGAGCATGCGTTGACGACGTGCAGCAGATCCTCGAGGACATAGGAAAATAGCATGAAATTGCAGAAAAAGACCCATCCGTCAGCTAAGCATCGTGTGTCTATCATATGCAGACATTCTTTTAGGGAAATCATTTCGCACATGAGAGACCAACGCCAAGATGCCGCGATGTATAGACGATTACTCGTCCTACCTCGAACCACTTTTGAACCGGACCAAACAGAGAGAACACCTGGCCGTGCAGGTGTACTCGTATTAGAAGATCACCGCCTCTATCCAATGCACCACCGAAACGTTAGTGGGCAGAGCGAGGCGGCGACAAGAAGATAGCAGTACACAACTTCTTAGATGAGGTCTGTCGGTAAGGTTAGCAATCAAGTTTGAACTTGTAGGAATTGGTTGGCACTTACCAGCCACGTTCATGGGCATCTCCTCGATCTGTGTGCTGTAGAACTGTTCGATTTCGCGCATCATGCGGACATCGTCAGCGGTGACGAAGTTGATGGCAACACCCTTACGTCCGAAACGTCCACCACGACCGATGCGGTGGATGTAGTTCTCACGGTTGGCGGGCAAGTCGTAGTTGATGACAAGGGAAACCTGCTGGACATCGATACCACGGGCGAGAAGGTCAGTGGCGATGAGGACACGGGAAGATCCGGAACGGAACTCCTTCATGATGACATCACGCTGTGCCTGGTCCATGTCACCGTGCATGGCCGAGACAGTGAAGTCACGGGCAGTGAGCTTGTCGGTGAGCCAGTCGACCTTCCTGCGGGTGTTGCAGAAGATGACGGCTTGGGTGATGGTGACAGTCTCGTACAAGTCGGAGAGAGTGTCGAGCTTCCAGTCCTCCTTCTCAACAGCAATGTAGAACTGCTTAATACCTTCGAGGGTAAGCTCGTCCTTCTTGACAAGGATACGGACGGGGTCGCGCATGAACTTGGTGGTAACCTCGAGGACGTCCTGGGGCATGGTAGCGGACAGAAGGACGACCTGGGTGCTCTGGGGCAGAAGCTGGAAGATGTCGTAGATCTGCTCGGTGAAACCACGAGACAACATCTCGTCGGCCTCGTCGAGGACGAACATCTTCATGTGGTCGGTCTTGAGGACGCGACGCTGGATCATGTCGTGGACACGGCCAGGAGTGCCGACAACGACCTGGGGACCGTCCTGGAGGGCCTTCATGTCGTCTCGGACGCTGGTGCCACCAATGCAGGCGTGGCACTGGACGTCCATGAAGTCACCGATGGCGACGACGACCTTCTGGATCTGCTGAGCGAGCTCACGGGTGGGGGCGAGGATAAGCGCCTGGCAGGCCTTGACGTTGGAGTCGATCTTCTGGAGGGTCGAGATGGAGAAGGTAGCCGTCTTACCGGTACCGGACTGGGCCTGCGCAATGACATCGTTGCCTGTGGTCTGTCAGTTTTGTTTCTTCCGCTGTGTTGGTGGTGTAGTGGGGGTTGTGTGTGTGTGTGTGGGCAAACTCACCCTTGATGACGGGCATGATGGCACGCTGCTGAATAGCAGAGGGGCGCTCAAAACCGTAGGCGTAGACACCACGGAGGAGCTCGGCCTTCAAGTTCATGTTGTCGAAGGAGTCGGTGATCTCATCGTAGTTGGACTCGATCTGGCCTGCGCGTGGGTTAGCCTGGGCTCGCAGCATATTTCGCAACTGAGGCTATCATGGCCGTCGCTTTCGCACTGCGGGGGTGCGCATGTTGCAACAGCGGCGGAGCAGCACTCGGACAAGAACTCACCCTCGGGCACATCCTCAAGACCTTTGTCAGCCATGATTGCGACTTGGTGGAGTGACTACTGGTACTGGACCGTAGTCGAAGTGTTGCTCGTGGCGGGGTTAAAGCGGAGGATCCTCTGGATACCGCCGCGTGTGTGGAAACTTGTGTTGTAAAAACTAGATACCAGATCCTCTACAAGAGAATCGAACGGGTATCTAGGGTAGTGTGTAGTATTTGTTGTGTGGTTGATTTGGTGGTGGAGGGAGTGAGAAGGTGGGCGCTTTTTGGCTTAAGAGGTCGGCCACAAAAAATCTCAGCAGTCGGCTAGTGCTAAAAGCACGCTAGTTCAAAACCGCCCACGGGCTCCCACCTTCAGCTTCGCCTTCACTTCCACTGGTTCGTTGCAGTGTCAGCCTATGACTCCCCTCTTCCATTTCCAGGGTTTGCCTCTTGATTCACTCGCAGCCTTGAAAACGCCCGCGCTGAGCAAACACTAACCGTGGTCCCCATCTGTTTGTGAAATGGCGCCCGGCATCCTGGAGCACCCTGGCATTACCACTGTCGAATCACGACCGTCGAAAAGAATAAAGACTTCGGTGGCGACCGAGACCCAAGTCGACGATGAGGATGTGGCGGCGGCAATCGCAGTGCCCTCGCATCCCCTGGGCATTAAGCCGGCCGGAAATGCTTTGACAGCGTCCGAAAATATCAAATCAAGATGCGGGTTGTTCGCTAGTCTCCCAGATGAACTTCTGAGCCATGTCCTCGAGTCATTCGACGCTGACGTTTTGATACGTCTGGGGAGTACGTGCCGGGCTCTGTATGCCTTTACTCGACTGGACGAATTATGGCGGGCCTTATTCGTAAGGTGAGTTCAATGGTTGATACACGCAACATCTCACATTGTCCATCTTTCCCGTTCCTCTGTGGCTCACAATCATGACCCATATCTCTTGTCGTCTCCCAGTCATATGTCAAATCATACGGTGTATGGAAAGGACGTTGTTCCTTGTAAGCTTTCTAGACGAGGTATGACTCTGCCGGCACGCCTGATTATGCATCAACGGCTGTGTGTTCGCAAGGCAACATGCGCTTGCGAGATCAGCTGAGTCGCTGAATCTCGCTCTATTGAAATCAGATCCGGGCGTATCGCTCAACTCGGTTCTATATCGTATCATGGTACATATGCGATAATGAGACGTACGCTAGGATTGGCATGTGCTGGCAAGACGGTACTGTTTTCTCAGCAATTTTCTACCAGACCTGTCTCCTCCGTTTACTTTGTATCAAACAAAATCGGGCAAAGTGCAACGTTTCTACAAGCAAATGCTAATCATCAAACAGCTCCCCAGCTGAAGACTTTGAATGGCGTGGAACATGGCGAGCAACCTACCTCAAAATACCTAGAGAGAACGTCACTTCTATTTCATGCACCAATCTGTTCTCGGACACACTTTACCGGCCATTTCAATGCGCACACACAACACTGAATACATATGCGCTCAACATCCCAAAACACAACGAGATAGCTCGACTCTCAGACCTAACTTACGAAGAGTACGCTGAGACATGGGTTGACAGACCCTTCGTGCTCACTACACCCGTCAAGCAATGGCCTGTATATGGTTCCTGGACACCTGAATACCTTCTCGAGAGATATCCAGATACGAAGTTCCGCGCGGAAGCAGTAGACTGGCCCATGAAGAAGTACATGTCTTATATGCACGACAACGCCGACGAGTCACCTTTGTATCTTTTCGACCGTGCATTTGCCGAGAAGACCGGTATAGACATCACAGCAGCACCACATTCCAAAGAGGCGGCATACTGGAGCCCGACGTGCTTCGGCGATGACCTTTTTAGTGTCCTCGGCGAGCATCGTCCCGACTGCCGATGGATGATTATGGGTCCCAAGCGCAGCGGTTCCACATTCCACAAAGACCCCAACGCTACTTCAGCTTGGAATGCCGTCCTAACTGGTAGCAAGTACTGGCTGATGTTCCCCGCTGGCCCAGGTATCGAACCTCCACCAGGTGTCATCGTCAGTGACGATCAGTCTGAGATCACTTCTCCGCTCAGCATCGCGGAGTACATGCTCACCTTCCATGAACTCGCACGCCAAACGCCTGGCTGCAAAGAGGGAATTTGCTACGCCGGTGAAGTCCTACACGTACCGTCCGGCTGGTTCCACCTCGTCCTCAACCTCGAAGATAGCCTCGCGCTCACGCAGAACTTTGTGCCACGAAAGAAATTACCCGACGTCCTGGGCTTCCTGCGCGATCAGAGGGGCGAAGTTAGTGGGTTCAAAGAGGATGTTTGCGATCGTGCTTATGAGCTTTTCGTAGAGAGACTGCAGGAGCAGCATCCTGACTTGCTGGAGGAAGGCCTCGCGGAGCTGGAAAAGAAAGGCAAAAAAAGTAGAGGCAAGTGGGAGCAATTGACCAAGGGAGATGAGGAGGAACCTGTAGGAGGTTTTAGCTTTGGATTTGGAGGGGATGACGACGATGCTGATATCCCGTGAGTCTGGTACCGTTCGGGCAAGTTATTGCTTGACATAATACATATACAAGGCATGATACCATTACGCAAACACAGGCGACACATTGGCAAAGTGTTTTTCATACAATGCTGATTTTGTAAGCTATGCTTTCCCGTGGGTATCATTTAATCATAAGGTCGTAATCATAAGCACAATGTCGTATCTCATCCTCCCCATTTTACACCAGCTCATTTTGCGTGGTTGATAATCTCGGCGTACATGTCTTCAGGTATCTTGCCGGCGAAGCTCATAGCTACACCTACGATCTTTTGAGCGTTTAGGCCGGGTAGGTTACGTAGAATAGTGTTGGGACTATTGATGTGTCAGTGACGTTACAAAAGAGCGCGAAGAGTAAGCTCACCTTGGACTGTTCAAGATGTCACCGCGAATGAGAACCAACTGAGCCACAATGCACAGGATGTTCAGATGCGGTCCGTACGCGAAGAGGAAGTCCCAAAGCTGGAGGACCTCGGGTAGTGGCGGTGTGCATGCGCACATGGTAAGCACGGATGCGAAAGCATAAATCTTGGCTTCCATGTGGTGTGCCATGAGATGACCGTACAGCTTAGGATCGACGACCTCTAGCACTCTGTCTACAAGCGCGAGACCTTTGTGCACACCTTCCATGGACCCCCTCACATAACCTGGACACTCGTACGTGATGAGTCGCTCGAAGCCTGTGAAAGCCTCGACTTCACTCCTTGCCGCGTATAGGAATGGTCCACAAAGCACATTCATTCCCTGCACGTATCCAATCTGCTCGGCGTCGTTTGTAGTAGACGCTTCTGTACGGGTGCCCGCAGTCAGGGAAGGGCGCGACATCATCGAGGTATCTGGACTACCGCCAAACTCGGATAACGTGGGTGGGGACTGCCAGCCATTGACACGTGCCTCGTGTGCATCGTTCAGTCTCCACGCGACCGCGTTGAGCACACGCGTGATGCTGTTCTGGGTGACGCGTCTTCGGAAGAGAGGATCGCCTTGGAAGGTACGGAAGGTATCATTTTGGATTTTGGCGTGCGCTGGAGAAGCGCCTTGACGGACAAGGTCAAGATATACGTCGGTCTTGAGAGGAGGCGCGTTGAGCAGTATGAGCCATATGTATATGCGTAGCTCCGACTGAGTCAATGCGAAGTCAGCATTTAGAACCATTGAGCAGCTCTAGAGTGCGCCCATGCGCAATGTAATCGCATGGGGTATTGTGGAGAACGTACCATGCCCTCGCTGTTGGCGGGTATACCTTTTGTCAAGATTGTGTATCGCAATTCCTGAAGGCCCTCCTCTGGACTACTCGCAGAGGCTCCTTTCAGGAGCAACATGTCCAAGTTCGTCATTTTGTGTAGTTGTTCAAGAAACACGGGATTTGTGAACGATGGGGATTCAAATCGGGGTCTCCCCAGGGTCGAACTCTCCGCGTTACGGTGTGCCCTGGCGCCTTGGCACTTCGATGCGTCTCCGGCCCCACTCCATTCGTGGACATCCATTCCACTATCATTCAACCTTCCAGTACTTACGGAGTACAAATGCTACAGCAACCCCGTTAAGTTTGTGGACAGGAGAGGTGTCCGAATCGATTCTTATACTTGTTGGTGTTACTTTCGTGTCTACCTAGGTATTCTAGCCTATAACTGGTCTACAGACGTATTCTTGGAACTATCGCTGGGACTCTGATTTGAATGCCCTCAAGAAGTTGACACGGCCTTACAGTTGGCAATGTTCTAGCTCGAGGCGGATTGAGTCAACCTCCATACCATCCCGCCGAAGCTGCTGCTCCTCCGTAGCGATATTCTTCTGAATATCCTCAGGATGTTTCGTGGTGATTTTTACTTCGTACGTGTGTTTGTACGAGACAATGGATAGGTTTGAGGTATCGTTCATTCTCCGACTTCTGAATCTTGTTGTCAAAGAGTCCAAAATGCGCAGAAAGTGGTCAGGTCACCCACCAAGACAAATGAATCAGCTATAGGAGGTTTACCAAGTCATGCTAAGGTACCAACTCTGTCAGTAAAGACCACCACAGGAAGGACTGCATGAACAGGTGACTTTTACATCGCAAAATTTGACTTGGTGAGTATCTATGCCTACTGAATGCTTCAGGCGGTTACTACTCTTGCCTTTCAGGAGAAAATAAGACGGGCCAATTCTGCAAGGGGCCCATGGTGAGCGTTAAGCATGAAGTCAAGCATAGTCGGGTGGGGCTAGTTATCTGAAAGACCGTATTATTGAAGTATTGTCGTGCCGTCATGATATTTACTACACCAGCCTCTAGAACGCCGTGGAAGTTTATGTACAAGTGAAATTATAACGCCATGAGCCCTTTCTATCACAGATCATCTCCTCCTGGTCGACGAAGTTGATGTTTTCTTGTCGTCCTTCTTTGTACTTGAACTCGTCGCCTTAGGAGCTGAGGTTATCGCAGCCGAGGAAGAAGTAACCCTAGCTACAGACGGGGGTGAAGTGGTTGTTGCCTGTGCCGTAGAAGAAGCAGTTGCCTGGGAAGAAGACGAAGAAGCCGGTCGAGTGCTGGTCACTAGCGTGCTAGGTCCCTTTCCTCCATTGGCCCAGTATTCTACAAGAGCATCTTCTAGCTTTTCGGGTCCTGTGTATGCCTCCAGAGCTTCAAGTTCAGCACATTTCTCGTAAATATGCTCTTCCTCGTTGTCATGGTCATTGATATCCTTGGATCGGTACTTCTCCTCCATCGGGTCGATAAACTTGGTTGTTTCGGGGTAGCCGAAATTAGCGAGACTGGTGATGTTAAAAGCAGCCATCATGTCGTGATCTTCGTGGATAAGGTTGTGGCAATGGAACATGTATACACCATCATAAGGAGCGTAACGGGCGATGACTGTAACCTTCTCGTTCACACCAAGTAGAACAACATCCTTCAGGGCCTCTTTTTCGTAGTTCAGGACGCTTCGCTTGCCGCCGGTTCGTGTCAGAATCTGGAAATCGACAAGATGGATGTGAACCGGATGACTCCAACCTCCAGATGAGTTTTCAAGCTCCCAAACTTCAACCGCGCCGCGCTGTGGCTTAGCAAGGATGCGGTTGTTGACATCGGCGAATGTCACACCATTGACTGTCCATTGCCCATTAGTGCGTCCGAACTTGAAGCTCCTGTCGATGCCACTCTTCTTAGGTGGGAAAGGCACTGTGCGCAACGAGCCTGGAAGAGCGCCATTGCCGGCTGTGTCTGAGACGGACGTCCCAACAACAAATCGCATAACTTTATCAGTACTGTTGTAGTCCTCGTCTGCCTGCACGTCACGAGCATTCTTCATTGTTACGTTCTTTCCGGAATACGTGCTGAAGTCGACCACGATCTCCCAGCGTTCGGCCATCGAGATTTCAAGGTTGTCGCTTTGTACAGGCTTTGTCATGAGACCAGTATCCGCGCCGATGACGTGGAAGGGAACCTTTTTGGCTGTCGGGTCCTCGAGTGTGAGCTTGAAGGCACGGCTGATAGCTGTGTTGAGTATCCTGAAGCGGTATTTGCGAGGCTCAACCTTCATGTACGGCCATGGTTGACCGTTGACGTGGATGACATCGCCCCAGAGCGAATCGGTCTCGTCTTTGGGGTCAAATAGTGTACCATCGCTATTGTACTGTTTCGACGCTAAAGCCAGGGGAACATCGTATGTGCCTGAAGGAAGTCCCAATGCGTCCTCAGCAGGGTCGTGAAGTATGTAGAAGCCTGCCTGTCCGAAGTAGGCGTTCTCGGCTGTGTGATGAATGGCATGGTCGTGGTACCACAATGTTCGTGCACTTTGTTTGTTTGGGTAGTCTGTGGTTCGTCAGAATTATATGATATCATGATGCTGTTCGGTGGTGCTTACAGTAGTCTTTGTATTGACCAGGCTTGGTAGTGTCTTCGGCCCAACCGTCAAAAGGCGCGCGGCTATATGAACCATGGAGGTGCACCGAGAGATCTTTGTCGCCATGGTTCTTAAAACGAACGATGGCTTCTCGACCCTTCGTCATCCTGAAAGTAGGCCCAGGTGATACCCCATCATATCCAACGAGTCTGGCAGGCTTCAGCCCACGATAGACTTGTTGTGTGAAGGGCTTCACGTCGACCTCATAGAAGTCAATCTTGTTCCCTGTAGTCTTGTTCGTGTAGGTGTATGATACAGCTTTATCCTTGGGTATGGGAAGCTCGTTTTGAAAGATCTCCTTGTATACGGGACTAACCCAAGCATCATCGCCGGCCAATGCTTGCGATGCCAAGAGGGCTGCAACTCCAATCGAAAAGTAGTTCTTCATGGCGTACAGAAGACGAATGAAGTAGGATGATAAGCAAGTATGAGTGAACTGGGCTGATGCTCCGTTGTACACGAACGTCTTGAAGCTCTTTATACTCCCACAGCTCGCTATTTACAACAGCTAAATGGTCTCGAACGCCCCTACCTTGAAGCTGCTCAGCCATTTCAAAAACCTCACCATACCTGATCGTGTCAAGTCCATCTCTACAAGGGTATCAGGTCACCGTGTGAAGCCCAGGAGCGGCATGAGACGCCATTTGGCGTTTTCGCTAATACCGTCTGGGTGTGTCGACATTCGCCTCGTTCCCGTACTCTTCGAACTACTTCTTAGGAGAACCGGAAGTGTGGTATCCATGCCTAGGCAGTGTTCCAGAGGCTTGGTATAAGCAAGGGCTAGGCGATGAACGAAAGCTGGCGAGTCTTGGCATACAGTAGTACGGCAATGCCGTGATGGCGGAAGATTATGGGTTCATGTTTTACTCTGCCGAGCGCAGAAGTAAATTAATCTCAAGTACCGAATTGTGCATACGTATCGTTGGATTAATTTCCGACTTTGATAAATCTTCTCGATAACAGGCACCTGACTATCATTTGCTCTTGTTCAACACCCAAGACAGATCATGGACGCCTGATAAGAGGCCGACCAGCTGTGGATTCTGTGCCGGGTAGACCGAGATTTTCGGGCGAAGCGGTCTCAACTTGGAATGGCCGATGTATAGCCAAAAAAAGTTCTCGTCGATGCCTGGCGTTCTACATACCTAGGCGAACGCCTAGACACGAGCGGTCAAGACGATTAAGGGCCCCCACAGAAACGACCATGGCAGTCTCGCCTTGCTGGGGTTGAACAGTGTTGCCAGCACTCGAGCATCCGTGAGCTATGAGGCACTAATACTAGGTCATAACATCATGCTGGAGACCGGTCAGCTTGGCAGGCTTCTTTGGGAGTCCAGTGGGTCCAAGAATAGCAAAGGTGAGCCCGGAGGACTGGCAGCGGATGCTTGTCATTGCGCCAATGCTGTTTCTATTCGTCGTAAACGGAGAAGTGTGAAGGGGAAGCTGCGGGAAGAGAGGTCTGGACTGTGATCATGCTTTGATCGACGCTATATTAGCGCCCGTCGGCCTTGGCGTGGAGTTCGCTCAGCCTGTCATTTGAAGCTCTCGACGCCACGACGCCTTTCCAACAGATCGACCTCAGCTACCCCGTAACGCACCATCTGCGCGGAGATCATGCGTGCTTAAACACGGCTCATTTTCTCGTGTCTTGTACCCACAGCGTCAGCGTCGCCGAGTCAGATTGTCACGTGTGCGAGTGGTCTTTGGTTCTTTTCTTTCATGAAACCGCTAAGAGGGCAGCTTTAATGGATCGGGGTCTGATCGGGGAACAGTGTTTCCGGTTGGTGAGTGTTCAAAAACGATTGTAGCCATCGCCACGCTGTCCAGGCTTAATACTGGTGCCACGTCTATGACATTGGGTCGACGTTATGGTCACTTGTTCTCAGCAGACATCGTATCACCCCCAGATCTCTGAACGTGTTGCATACAGCATTGTTGAATGCAGGTAGCAGGGTTGTCCTGTCGCTATGCTCAAGGAAGCGTGTTCGACACACCTACCTCGCAATCGATTCCGCACCGAGCCTTGCTTTGGCACAGTATCGGAACATATCTAGCATAGGAGGCTTTCCGCTAACCCTCGATCTACCCGCTTACCCTTGCGCAACCCCGCGACGGCACTTGGACACGCGAGAAAGATTACACTAAATCGAGGTCACAATTCCAACAACATACACCGGTCTTAGCAATGTATCCTCGGGTGTTTCTACACGCCTTTTCCGAGACAACTCTTCATATTGTTCAGTGGATCGTAGGCACATTGAAGTACATTCTGTATAGGCACATTCCACGTCATCTTTACCATTTCCCTATTGCTTCGCTGTCTTCACACCACCACAACTCTGAGTCCCACAAGTTGAGGCTGTCAATATGTAATAGCGAGAGGCTAGATCAGCCCATGTTCGACGTCTGCAAAACTTCTCCATCATAGTCTTCCCGCTGTTGTTCGAGGATACCGCCTCATCCAATATTGGCTTGCAGGACGCCAAGTCCGCTGAGCCAGACGCGAAAGCTTGGCTTCCACTAAAGGTATGGAAATACGAAGAGCCTCAGCTGTGGCTCCCGCCGCTTCTGTAGTGTCGTGTCCGGTGACCTGGTTAGTCTTCGGTGCTGCCGCTTTGCTCGGCCATGTGGCAATCAACGAATGGGGGTCACTTTTCGTATGTCTCGCACACATGCTGACAAACAGTCTCGTAGCAATGGCTACAGTGTCAACTGTAACAACATCTCTATTACCCGGTGGTCTCTTTGCCTTATCTGATTCGTGAAGCTTGTTCGAAACATACAGATAAGATGTGCTAAATAGAAGACACGCATAATGCACCAAACGCACTAGCAATGACTTGCCATGATTTGTCCAGCGAAAATCCCATTCTGCACTCATCGTTGTCACTTATGCCGACTGCACACCTTCATTTACTGTCAAATACAACATTCACTCCACATCACGATCAAGAAAGCGCGCACTACCGGCACATTTCGCAACGGCGAAGGGCTAGTCGCGAGATGCGGGATAGACCAAAACTTAGCATTGCTTTTTTACCTCTTCGCTAAACTAATACCTTTCTGTTAGATCAGGCAGCACAGCCAAAGCCAGTGGCTTATTATGTAGTTTATCGGTAATTCAGAACCGCTTGAACTAGTATGCCTTCCCTTCGGCATCTAGAACCTTTAGCTCAAAGATCCTGCTCTTCCAAGTACTTTTTCATGGCTGAGGTATTTCCAAACTCTCTGTACGTAATACGTACACGAGGAAGCTTCTGCCTCATAGTCCTGGTGAAGTTTTCTTTGGCTTCATTGATTTCTGTGCTATTTGGTGGCGGTATAGTGTCATGTTCCGTCTCGTCATCATCATCATCTGAATCTCCGAAAACTTCTGTAGCGGACAGCAAAAGCTCAAGGTGCGACAGGTTCTCGAAAGCACGGAAGGTAACACGGCGAAACTCGCCTTGATCTTCCCTAGCAATCTCAACCTTCTCCTCTTCAACGTCGTATCCGGGATCTTCTCTCTCCGCCAACATGTACAAGTCCGTCGAATCGACGCCGATCTGGATAGAACGTATCAAGCTCTTCTTGTACTTGTGTTTCTCATTCTCGCACAACGACCAGAAGAAGTTTTCCCAGGACGGCTGACAGCTAAAGGACCAGATGAGGAACGTATGTGCAAGGCTAGCAGCTTCCCTGTAAAGTTGTCGGCATACTACAAGGGGGCTGTACGCAGAGTTTTGGGGAGCTTCTGGTCTGATAGTCTGTGTGAAGGTAAAAGTCCAGATGAGATCGCGTAATTCGCGGGGCATACGAAGGAGAGGCGATTCAAGTGCATTCCTTTTGGTGCTGGCATTGTGTCAGTAAGTGAGCAGACTATGTAGCAATGTGCGACTGACATGGATTTCTGCCAATCGGTCTTGGGCGCCACGTCAAAGATGCTGCTGTCTAGTTTGGGTAAAGGTGTTTGCTCTTTCGGTGATGAAGACATATTGTACGGTCTTGGTCCCGACGTGAACATGGAAGCATGTGAAGGTAGAGAACATATCTGATGGCGGTGTGTAATCTAGTTGATGCAAGATGATGTCACTGCTCATAGCTCACACAATCTACCCACTGGTTTGCATCACGATCAATCATCATTGTGGACGTCTGAACAAAGTCCAGGCAAAAGAAGATCAGATTCAGATCTATTTCATAAGAACTTCACCCTCCCAAACCCCAAACTCAATCTTCCCCCCATCCAGTTTTCCCCTCTCCTCATTAACCCACCCTTGTACCAACATAACGGCATGTTCTCTAATCAACGTCTTCCCTTCCTCGTCAACCAACAAAAGTAATACCATCCATTCTCCACGCCCGTCTTTACTGATCAACGGATGATGCTCGGGTTGCGCGTCTTCGCCAGACCATCGGTACAATGAAGAGTATGGCTTGAGAGCCGGAGGCACGGCGGCTTTGACGAGGGTGAGTAGGGAGGACTGAAGGGCCTTGGGGACTATATCGACATCGACCGTCGTAGTGGCTTGTGGGAGATCTACATGCACAGCGACCATGACAGATTTCGGCCCTTTACCACTTTTCTTAGTGAGATGTGTCGGTAACATCTGAAACGATGACTCCATCGTCGGCGATCCCATCTCTTCATACACTGCGAATTTGGCATCCACAATATCGAACACCATTGCTTCACCCTCACCATCCTCCCGGAACCCCACACCCTCCTCCCCCTTCTCCAGATCTCTCGTCTTTTCCAAATTCAGTTTCCGACTAACGCCGTTGTAGCCATCTGCCTTCAAGTGTCCGATGTCAGACACGACACAAGTGTACATGTACTTTGGTAAAGATCCCTCTTTCTCATTATGCGTGTACTGGTCATCACTCTCTGGAGCGCAGAAACGCAGAGCATGTGTGACTTGACCGAAACCGGTATCGGGTACGTTGAGCAAGTCTCTGAAATGGAGTTTGGTCCAGCGAAAGAACGTACTGGCGTTAGATGGAGTGACGTCGCGGAGGCGAGGTTGGACGAGGAGCAGGCCTTGTTTGGTCTGCTGGGATGGCGAGAGAGGCGAGATAGCGGAAGGCATTTTTCAAATGTTGTATATAATTTTGATCGAGAAGCCGCTGCCACAGTCTTAGACGTACTTGGTTATTGCGGCGGGTATATGTGTGTTGAGCTTCCTTTTTGTCCCGCCCGTACGCTGTGCATCCTCGGACGGCAATCGCGTGGAGTCCCGGGGTTGCAGCTGCAGAAGCAACCCTGTCTGCATATAGAAAAGCACAACGATTAGCCCAGGTTCAAGCTTGGCCCCCGAAGCGTGCATACTGGTCAGAATATGGGGCTTGGAAATGTGCCGGGCGTAAGCTGACATTGGTAGTACTAAACGACGCAGACCGTCTACCGACATACGCTGGGGCTACACTGTTTGAAAAGTTGATTTATTTCAAAGACAAAGTAGATGTACCGCCTTGACAGACAAGCCTCTGATCTTGTGGCGCGGAATTTACATCGCGCTCTCCTTTCCTCCACTAATACCTGGTCCTCAGTCTCCCTTTCCCCAACCCATCCAATCTGAGGTATACCATCGTACAACAAAAGCAAGCACCGCGACTCCCTTTGTCTGATGCTGGTACCGCCGTGGTAAACTCCAGTACCCCAAACTCTCCTGAAATAACACAAATGTATCCCTATAGTACCGGTGAATTGAACCGCTTCTCTTGCCAATATGTGCTTTACATATCCTCGGATCTCTAATTCCGAGGCAGGTGTAGGAAGATTGTACACTTCTCAATCTCAACATCCTCTTTCTTCGCACCACCGCTTTCAGGTAGACCCTTACGGTCTTTCTCTGCAACGATCTCAACTTCAATACGGTTAACGCCAGCAGCAAGTTTCGCTTCGAAAAGCGGCTCTCCTTTCTTCTTACCACCCTCGTAGCCGGGACTAGGGCTGGTACCGTTGATGCCTGCTGTGACAGGAACTCGGTTTGCTTCGAGTGTCTTGTTGCCATTGACAGTAACAAAGAGGCGGTACATGCGGCTTGTCAATGCAATGGGTACTTTAGGAATGACTTGGATGTACGAGTTGGCAGGTGCGACTACCATTGTGGCACTGTACATGGTCTTTTGTTTGTTCGCTGGGATGTTGACAGACCATGGCTTGGACGGATTGAGCGCGGGATGGGTATTTAGTGTGATCTTGGGTATCAGTGCTTCGTCGATGTCTAGATGTGTTAATTGCTGGTTTACAGAGTCGGAAATGTCGACTTACTTTTGAGTGGAACCTTCCTGAAACTATCTACGCGAGCCACTGGTGGAGGCGCGTAGTAAGTCGGCGCTTGGTATGCGGAAACGTGGTTGCCATTTTGGAGCCCAACACCGTTTGGATGTGGACTGCCACTTGCCGGACGAGACATATGTTGTGGAGGAGCCATGTTCGGATGTGGCGTTTGTGCAGGGACGCTGAGTCGCGCAGCTTGGCTATCGGGCGCAGTACTGGCTGGCCTGATGGCACTCAAGGCAGGCGACTGTACGTCTTGTTTAACACCGTTGACTGCCGGTGGAGACCCTGCAGTCTTGCCCTGCGCGGCGGAGAGTGGTGCAATTGTTGAAGCGACGCCTTTCGGTCCAGTAAACGGATTGGCAGGCGCTGTTGGCGTCGCAGCTTTCGATGGAGTGGCCGACCGGTTGCCCATGCTGTCAAGAACATGTCGTTGTTGTCGCAGAAGAGCGTCACTGTCAACGATGACACCAGGCGTCGCAGAATCACGGGCACTTGGAGTGTTACGTTCTGACCCTGGGCTCGGCTTGAGCTTGAGCTTGAGCTGTTGCTTGGGGGCTGCAGCACTAGACATGTTGAGCTTCAGTTTTGGCTGCGTTGGCTCGCTGACTTTAGATTTGGCTTCTTCGAGTTTCTTGTTGAAGATTTCCTGTACTAGTCAGTATTACGCAACGAGGAAGTAGAAATAAACTACGTACCTCAAGCTCGAGCGAGAGGTTATAGATGTCGCTGCCATCTTCGTTGTAGATACGAGCATTCTTCCAGATAAGACTGAATGCATCTTCGAAAGCGTCCCAGCTCTTAAACAGTGTATGTCCTGTCGGGGCTTCGCGTCCGATGACACCGCGAACCTTCTTTTGTATGGCGGCCAGCGACATTGGGTCTTTGATCAGCTGGTAGTAGTCTTTCAAGCTGCGCGATGGGAGGTTTTGGAAGGGTAAGAATATTTGTAAGCCTTGACTGGAGGGTGTTAGCATAGAGACAATCCAGCAGCGAGCATACAACTTACTCCTCATAGTCGATAATCTCCCTCACAATCTGCTCCTGTGCTTGCTGGAACGTCTTCCCTGCGTAATCGGCACTGTTGTCGTCGTCGTCTTCCAGCGCAGCAGATGCTGACTGTCGCAACTTTGACGGTGCTGGTGTAGCCGATGCTGCGATGGCGGCCGCTCGTCGGGGGCGCTCAACAGTCTCTATCGTAGCAGGTGTAGCAGGTGTATGTGCAGTTCTTGGGGTTGCCGTGATGCGGGGCGGAGGTCTCGACGGAGTAGAGTTGTCTTCGCCTGGAATCGGGGTAGCCGTTGCAACATAGTTGCCATCACGGTATGCAGGGTTGTGCTTCACCATCCAGTTTGAGGCGGTCTTGCGCAGACGCTCGGCATCTTGGTATATGACAGAGTTCTTGTCGTTGTAGGCTTTCGCATTGTTGACCAATCGTTTGCAGTCGCTCTCGACTTGAGCCAGAGACGCGTACTCTCCGTTGTTGAGTTTATTCTGGGCATACATTAGCAGCCGGAAGGTAACTAGGGCATAGGCATAAACAAGGGACGGGCATACCTCAATGGTATCTATAGCAATAGGCAATTTCGTGAATTCGTAGTAGTCGGGTACTTCAGCCTACGTGCAAGTGTCAGCGGAGGCTGGTCTATGCGGAGAACGCTGTGGGAACATACCCTGTCTGGAAGGGAGAGGAAGTGGACTGCGATGGGTCGTCCGCTGCGGGTTATCAGTGGAAGTCGCTTGATGTGGCTCCCTGGCGAGTGTGGAAGCTGCCAGTGTGCAAGTAGGTTCAGGAGCCAAGCACGTACGTCTTGTCTTTGGCCTGCTTCAAGCTGTCGAGGAACTTCAAGCCGGCCGTTGTGGTTGATTCGACCGTCTCCGACTTGGAAGGGGTTTCGGCCTGCACGGAAGCGGTCCCCTGTCAGCATTGTTCCCGAGATTGTGTGAGTAGAATTCCTCTGTTCCCGACTGCATCGCCGGCGCGCGCGTGGTGTTGAGGAAACGATGAGGGGCCGACTGCGGTGATGGCCTACTCGTCGAGCCCCCCAGGTGTCGCGCTTCTGGTCTAAGGACCATCCCGCATCGCGACCATCACGCCTCCTGCATCTCCCAAACACACTCGACGATACATCAACCACCACCATGGACTGCACGTACCGTCCCTTTTTGTCGCTTCGCAGGGCGACCGTCGTGGTCGCCCGCTGCATTGCTGGCCGCCTTGCGCTTGGCCGCGCTCTCCATATTCGGTCAATTAGTGATCGCGTAGTCTGTCTGAGCGGTTTGCAGAGGGTCTCGAGGCGGGTAGGGATCGTGGCGGCGGTGCAGTGAAATGCGCGTTCGGTCGTTAACCCGGTGGACGCGCCGCAGTGTTCAATCTAGGGCTCCCAGTTTTGCCAAGAAGGTGCGCACGGTCCCCTTGCATCACCAGATGCACTGTAATCGTGCTTCATCACAACAAGTCGACAGCAAACCACGGCCACTTTTACTTGCTAGCATCACACTGCAAACGTCTGAGTATTACCAATGAATTGTTTCTAGGTAGTGGAGCCTGGTCGCTGTCTTCCAGGGGTATACTTGGGAAATGGCACCTCCGCTAATACTGCAGCAATCTCGACATGTTTGTGGCATCAGACCAGAACCAAGGAAAGTCATCCAGAGTCTGTATTCTCACTTCTTCACGGGCTCCGACGCCTTCTTCTCGAACTCCGCACGCGCCTCCTGCTCCTTCATCTCGCGCACCTTGGCTAGTACAACTTCTCGGAAGATGGCTCCCTTGGCAATTCTGCTCAAGCGTCCGGGTCCCTTTCCTGTGCTTGCATTCTCGTTGGTCGCTAGGCCCTTGTCCGCTGAATGTGATGCAATGGCTTCACCTGCAGCTTCGCGGGCATTAGCAGGCATGTCTGCCTCTCCGGGTACATCCTCTTCCTCGTCTTCTTGCATCTTGAGCGCCTCGATACGGTTTGCAAGCTTGACGAGCTCGATGCCGCGCTTGAGGCGGGCCTTTGCTGCGTATGCCTTGATTTCTGGCACCAAGTTGTGGTCCGTAGCAGTGCTTCCGCTGAGCCAAACGTGCTTGAGAGCAGCCTAGTATTGTTAGTGAATTGCAATAGACGTGGGCTTCTTCATCGTACTTCACTAGTCGGTCGCTTGTTTGGGTCGGGTTCCAGCAGCTTCTTGATGAACTCCTTGGCTTCCGGACTCACTTCCTTCCAGTATCGCTCGTGGAAGATGACGCGGCCGTTCTTGCATTCCTCAATCAGATCCGCAAGGTTCTCTGACCGGAACGGCGAGTAACCACACAGAAGAGTGTATGTGATAACGCCCATGGACCACATGTCAACGGGCTTCCCGTGGCCTTTCTTGAGCATGACCTCAGGGGCAGCGTATCCGAAAGAGCCAGCCATAGTAGTCAAGACTTCACTCTTCGAGTCGAGCATCTTGGCGATACCGAAATCAGCAAGGACGAGGGATGAGTTCGCATCGCGTGTGAGGTAGAGGAGGTTCTCTGGCTTAAGATCTGTTCAGGGGTCAGTTGCTGGGTTTGTGTTGAAGACTCGGACCATACCTCTGTGAACAACATTGTTCTGGTGTAGGTAGTTGACTGCATCGAGTACTTGTCGGATCGTCTCAGCGGCGTCCTTTTCTGTAAACTTGCCCTTTTCGCAAATACGATCGAATAACTCTCCACCAGTCGCCAATTGGGTCACGATGTAGTACTTGTCCTGGTAGATGTCAGCTCCACAGCCCTATGGACGATAAAATGGTCGCGCATACCCTCGACTCAAACCAGTCGTGGAACTTGACAATGTGAGGGTGCTTCATTCGCTGCAGCATCTCCAACTCATCGTAGACCATTTGCTCGTTGCCGCGCACATTCTTCTTCAAGATGATCTTCACGGCGACCTTGCCCTCGGGACAGTCAGCTTCTCGGACAATACCGTATGTTCCAGCGCCCAGTGTCTTTCCGAAGCGGTATCGAGATCTGCGATTGATATGTTCAGTACAAGGAGGAGGGCGGGGCACGAGGGTACAGACTTGCGATCATAGCTATCGGGCTGGCCGTGCAGCTTGTTGAGCATGTTTGTCACTAGAGGGCAAGTCAGTATTTAGTATTGCGATGCGCAACGCTGAGAGGGTAGTACAACTCATGATGGGCGAGCTAATGGGCAGCTATATGACTGCTGCAAGCTTATTCTCAGGCTGAGGGTGAGATTTGGGTTGCCTATCAGGCGCGTTCAGCTGGTGGTGGGGGTCGTCGGTGAGGGGTAAGAAACACTCAGGTAGCAATGCTCTCGTATGAGGAAAAGACAAGGCTGCAAAGGAAGGTCGTGAAAAGGAGGCACAGAACTGGATCGGGTCAGCAACAAAGGTCGAGCGTCTTGGGAGAACTGGAGTAGCACCTAGCCTGGCTGTGGGGCAGGCGCATTCGAGGGTCGTGTCCGCCTCGCGGCCTCCAGGGTTTGAGGCGCAGCGCCAATGGCCAATGGATCAAAAGCTAGCAGCGGCCCCCTCAACGCTTTCTTCACAGCCGTATTTGTCGCGCTCGATGAACGACATATGCGAGGCTACCACAAACTGCGAAGACGAGTGGGCGGGCATGGCATACACACTCTGTTACAGCATACACGCGTCCAGCAGGGTCAGCGTCAACGGGGTGTGGCGCCTGTCATCTTGACTCGCAAAGCATGGACGTTTATCTGCTCGCAGCTTCTTAATGATAAACTTCAAGGATATGGACATTAGATGCCTCTTATAGTACGAACGAGTCCGTACCTCTCGTATTCCAGCTAGCATTCTAGTATATTACGCCGACACTACCTGAGCAGCAGCCGCTAGACGATTGCGTGCAGCGCGTATGAAAACGGTAGTCTCTGTGCACCTCAGAGGGCGCGAGCTTCCCAATGTTCGCAGAACGCATGCGCCACAGAGGTAGGGCCCAGAGGGTGCCAAGAAAGAAGAGAACCGTTCGTCTGGTCCCGCAGGCGCAAGGCTGGCAGGTTTGCATGTGCGATTCCTACGTCATGCCCCTTCCGCGTACATAATCTGGGCTTTGATCGACAACGCCCACCAAACCACGCACATCACTTATTCAATCTGCCAAATCTCCTGTATAGCAGTACTGCACCACCAATTCCAATACAGACTACTTCACACATACCGACTTTCTCACCATCCTTACTATGGCGATCGGCATCTTCACCGTCCTCGCCGGCTTGATAGCCTTGGCTGCTGGCTACTTCTATTTCTTCGGTATCTCCCCAGAGATGAAGCGCAAGATGGAGAAACAGGCTCTCCAAACCATGGGCGAGAACAAGATGTCCTACATGGCCAAGGGTGAGTCTTACCATATTTGCAACGCACAATCACTACCTGGGCAAACACTGACATCCTCCAGACCAAATCAACAAGCTCCCTACCTCCGACCAAGAAGACGTCAAGAATCTCAAGCAGGGCATCAGCAACCTCGCGGGTGGCGCTATGCAGAACCCCATCGGCGAACAAGCTGGTGAAACCGCTGACAGACTCACGTCTCCGCTTACTGGTCGCTAATATCTCTTCTTTGTCTAGTCCGGACAGCGTCCCAGGTCTGGGGTTCGGCAAAGGATGTCTCGAAGAAGGTTTCCGAACGGTTCTACTAGGAGGCTATACAGGCTTATCTGAATGCCTTGCTTGATTGTCTTCAGGCATTGTTAGGCACGTCCAAGGAGACGGTCCAGAAGAAAGCAAAATAGCGATACGATAACGGAAAGGCGATCTTGGACATCCCCTCGGTGGGCGTTTGGTGGTACCTTTGTGGCTTCTTGACTGCAGCCTTTTCCTTGTTACCCCTTCGGCAGACGTGGGCTACACCCTGATGACCGTCACGACTCTTGTGTAATCATCTCCAACCTTTAATAAATCTTTTCCGTATTCTATCGAAAGACTCGTTCCATTTGGCTCATCATCCCACCTGTATCCCACCACTCCATACCAACCAGGCGACACCCTCCCAGCACAGGACGATCCCCCAGAACACAACCTGAAACCTCACCTTGCGTGTCTTATGCTGGAAGTAGTGCATGCCCACCAGCGCACCCGGCCATCCCCCTACCGCCGCCAGTGTATGCAACGTCACCTCTTTCACCCTCCACTCCAGATTACGCGCCTGCATCTTGTCGTAGCCATAGAAGAGGAAGGTGATGCCGCTAATCGTTCCGGCGTAGAGGATGGAGTATACGGGCAGCTGCGAGACGACATAAAGGCGGATGAGTGTGACGGTGGGTAGGATGAGCGAAGCGGTTCCGCAGACGGTAGCAACAGTCAAGGGTCGATGGCGAGGACGCGCGCGTGGTGGCATCTTGTTGGACGTTACTGATAGTAAGAGAGGAACCGGGGCCCTGGGCGCATCGCAACAGAGGAAGGCACAGTATTGGCAACGTGCTGGTAAGCGATGGGCGTATGCGCGAGCGAAGCTTTGGCGGTGCCATGTCGATCTCCCGTCGGTGGTGCTTGAACGGAAGGGGTATAGCTCATCATCTAGTACGGTTCATCAGCTCGGTTCCAGCTCTTCGTCATTCAGCGTTGCAATTACACCTCGTTCATGTCAACTTGTAATTCAAAGACATTCACTGACTTGTACATTGATAAGATGGCTATTCAAAAGGCCGTGAAAATCTTCGGTATGAACTACAATGCTATTTTACAATCTAAAGATACCGACTTTCTTTTGGATCCATGCCATACGTGCGCGTGCGTTCTTTGGGAGTGCCAGCAGATGACACATATGAATGCACTATCCCTAAGCACACCCTAGATCCTTCAGGTGACCTGGCAGAGACACCGCACCACGAGGATGGACCGCCACGAAGTTCGATGCCGCCCTCTCACAATCCTGCGCCTCCAACGCGAAGAGCGTCCGCCATGTTTCGGTGGATCGTTCGAGGTACTTTACAACAGTTAGCACATGAAACTCAGCGCAAAAGTATATATCAAATTTTTGTTGTAGTAAACTCACGTTCGGTTCCTCCTGGCACGCTACCGGGCATTTCTCCCCTGACCAGGTTCCTTCCCGAAGCACCGTGTAGCGGGCCGTCTCGTAGCAATACTCGATACACTATCTGTCGTCAGGATCGTTCTGACACGGTGACAATTGGAACTTACCTTGCCATAAAGTTGAAGGGCTGGAGATAAAGGTTTGGGTTCGTCCCTTGAGAGTTTGGCGCCCAAAGCCTGCGATGATTTGACATTTGGCCATGGGTGTGTGTTCTCATAAACGTTCTCTTCTGTGTCCCTGAAGGCGTTTGCTGCTGATGCGTGTGAGGCAAATGCCAGAACAGCGAAAATTGCAGTGAAAAGGGTACTGCTGTTGAACTTCATGATGAGAGTTTGTTTCGAAGGGTTGGTTGTTGAGAGTACTCTTGGAGTGCCTGAAGGTAGTATGTTAGTTGTGCGATTAGAGAAGATGTAGCGGTGCGTCCATCTTATATGTTCATTTCCTCCTTCAGGCTTACCAGTGCGTAATGGTCGACCTTGGATGTCATCTACCCCCGTCCCATGGTACTGAAGCAGCAATGCAGCGCTGTAAGTCCCCCCAGTGGTGTCCGTTCAAATACCCTAAGAGGCCGCAAATAGCGCGTCGAGCCACAATCAATCAATCGGTCATTCCGTGGTACTGCAAGGATGAGCCACTCATACGTTCCTTAAGATCTACCAGCCGCCTCAACGTAATTCGCGATGATCGAATATTAACAAATGTATTGCGATCACGTACAAATCACTAATTTGACGCTCCAAGAAATATTGCGACGTTCCTCTTTCCCCAAGTTTCCCATCCAGCTCTGGTAATCGCTACCCAGCACACCTGAGGACTGTCAAGGTCTACTTATGGGTCCCCAATAAAACTTTTTCAGCATCGTTTCTTCCTCCAAAATATTCCTTTGTATCTTGTTCCTCAATATCTCGATCTGACGATCATATTCCCAGCGCGGCGTATCCGCACCCCTCATACCAATAAACCTTGCAAACATTCTCATCTTGATCTTTAATCGCTCCAGCTCGGCTAGTTTGCAGTTTTCCGGCAACGTCTCACTAATATCCAAGAAAGGTTGTTGCCAGTTCATTGTCTGAGGATATTGATGTGTAAGGTCGGTGGTATGTGTTTGAGAGTAGTAACTCGCTAGCGCATCAAGTTGGGCTTCTGTTAGGAGGAACAGGTGGAGCATCGTGGATGGAAAATCAGGTGCTGGCTTCCCTGTCTCGACGTGTACTATAGGAGCGATGGTGAGGCGCATTTCAGAAATCTTGTGGACAAGAGCCAGATTGCGACCCGATAGTCGCATCTTCCTCGCTGCCCGCCTTTGTAAAATGCTCAAATTTGTCCTATTTGCTTTATTGATCCCGTTTGTGACACTCATACGTTGGCTAGGCATATGTCTGTTTGGTATAAAATATCTTGGTTGGTTAAGAATGCTTGCTGACTGGTGAGGTTTGCTGCGGGAAAGGGTGGATGGTATTTGGTGTGAAACAGCCGGGGGTGTGCAGCGAGCAGGGTTGAGGGGCCGCCGTAGTATATAAAAGCGACACAAACGAGTAGGGCGGGTGTCAAAAGAGAACGGGTATTGTTGGAGCTTTGCTCTTTGTCAAGACACCGCCACCTAAGACCTACTGTCCTGACTCCCAGTATCTCGTGAAGAGTAGACCCTTTGTCTTTCATCTGTCACGTGTCCATTGTCTTCGAAAGAATGATGGAAGGTTGTTGCTGTACAATGTCGAGCATTCCATAGTATTAACGGCGGTAGTCTGTGAGGTTGGCGAGGCTTGATCATCCTTGTTGACAAAGTGGTGGCGTGTTGGATGACTTTGTGGTGCGTTGGCCAATCTTTCATGATCTGAACACCGCTGTACAGATCTGTTTCAGGTACAATCAACGGTGAATCTGCAAGAACTTTTCGTGTCCAGAACTTGTCGGCGGTGTTAGTTATGTAGATCAAAGTCTTGGGAAGCATAAAGCATCGCAGTTAGCAAGCGATAATGAGAACATATCTCAAGCATCGAGAATGGCTTGGAGAGACACATCGTTCTCGGCGCCACCTATAGGCTCGGTACTTTTCCAGAACTTGCTCAAATGTCTTGCGCCACTGTGAATAAGTTAGTACATTCTCGACATTTTGGGCTATTGTCTTACCTGTCGCATAGAATAGTGACGATGCGATGTCCAGGACCAAGTGTCTTTGCAAGTTTCGTGGCAGCGACGCCTTCACTGTGTCAGCGCTGTCTGCTATTGAACGGATCACAACTTACAGTTCACAGCACTAGAGCTTCCAACAAATATGCCGTCATTTTCGACCAACCAGCGCGCCATGGAAACCGCTTGATCGTCATTCACTCTGATAGCGTCGTCGATTAGCTCCCGGCCAACATCAAAGTTATGTGTCACTCTGTTGATACCGATCCCTTCAACGATGGTATCCACCTGGTGTCGCCGCCGGGTTCCTTCTCTCTCCTTGGGATCGAACATAACGCCATACTTGACACGGTTGTACAAGCCACTACCAGGAGGATCTGCTAAGACGACCTTGAGGTTGGGTAGCTTGGACTTTAGAAACAAGGCAACCCCAGAGATAGTCCCTCCAGTACCAGCACCGCTAACAAAAGCATCCACATGACGGGCGGTTTGCTCATAAATCTCCGGTCCAGTGCCAGTGAAGTGTGCGCGCCAGTTGGCTTCTGTTTCAAATTGATCAGCGAACAATCCTCTGCCAGGCTTGTCAGAACTAGCAGTATGCTCCTCTGCTCGCGCTCGTGCGAGGTTGACGAATTGCTTCTGATCCACAATAGGCGCTGGTCGCACTCTTTCTACCTCTGCACCAAGCTTTAGGAGAAGATCTGACTTTTCGATTGCCATGTCGTTTGGCATGCAGCTTCCGCTTGTCAGCGAGCATTTCAGGATTATTATGCGTCAGATGACAACTCACATGTGTGCTTTGTAGCCGCGTGCTCTGCAGATTGCGGCTAGTGATATGCCAGTACTGCCTACGGTGCCTTCGTAGATAGTGTCACCAGAATGTGGGATGAGAAGTCCCTTCTCTTCGGCCTGATGTAGAGGTCAGCAACAATAGCTAATGCTACGATCTCTTGCACTGTGTTTTCCTCGTACCATTTCGATGATGCTGAGAGCAACTCTGTCTTTCGGGCTGTTGCCAGCTCCATTGAGGAACTGTCACTCCGCGTCAGCGCTTTTCTCGAACATATCTTGTATGCGCCTTGTACCTCAGCTTTTGCGAAGATATCGCAACCGGTGAACTCAGAAAGTGATTTAATTTTGATGAGAGGCGTGTTGCCTATACATCCTTCGATACCTTCTTTAAAGTCATCTGCGGCTTCGTCTCCGCTAAACTCCAGTAAAGTTTTTTTCAATGTTTCTAGGTCGTTGATCTTTGCGAGCTGCGACAACCACTTTTGCTGGCGTGCCAAAAGTTGGTCTTTACTTTCGTCATCGAATTCTTCTATCGGCCTCTTCTTATTGTATGCAGTAGTGAGGGCGATTCCCAGCAGGAAAGCCCCTAGAATATAATATCTGGAGCGATCAGACATTATAAGGAACCAAAATTCGAGGTGTGCATTTGGAAAGTTGAGCCAGTCGGAGTTCTATGATATCCCCGTCTTGGCGCGGCTGCCCGCAAAGCTCACCACGTGCATTCGCGCGGAGACGACCTGGGTACCAAAACTCTACCGCCGTCGCGACGCATTCGTGTCGATCGTCTCCGGCGGCAATGGACTCGCCACTCGCTACGCAGCTTTTCCGCCAGCTCTTCTCGCATAGAGCGTCGCAATGTCTTGCCCGCGGAGCTCGACCAGCGCTCGCAGGCGCCCGCATACCACACCACCAAACACGAGGCAAGGCTACACGGTTGGGTGAGGGAGAAACAAAGCGGGAGAGCCGATGGACACCGAGAAAGAATGCGTTTCCCCAAGAGAGAGCCGAGGAGTTTGAAAGATACCCAATGGTCACAGCGGACATGCTGAGGAGTAGAAGAGAAAGACCGCGTAGAGTCAAGATGTTGTTGCGTGACTTTATAGAAGGTCAGAGGCTTCTCATGTATGGTAGTACCAAGCTAATGGATGTACAGACAGCTTGTATAACCCCAATTACGGCTACTTCTCCAAGCAAGTCGTCATCTTCTCCCCTGGCGAACCGTTCGACTTCAATTCTATGGGCTCTGAGCACGAATTCTTTCAGCAACTCCGACACCGCTATACCGCTTTCGAAGACGATCTTGACTATCAAGAACCAAACGATCTCCGCCAGCTCTGGCACACGCCGACCGAACTCTTCTCACCCTACTACGGAGAAGCAATCGCGCGCTATCTTGTAGAAGACTACAAGTACAACTTCTACCCCTACCATGACCTGAACATATACGAGATGGGCGCGGGTAATGGTACAATGATGTTGAACATCCTTGACTTTATAAGAGATGTGCATCCGGACGTGTACGAGCGAACAAAATTCAAGATTATTGAAATTTCGAGTCAACTGGCCGACCTCCAACAGAAGGGTCTGGGGCACTCAGCGTATGCGCGTGGGCACTCTGACAAAGTGGAAATCATCAACCGGAGTGTCTTCGACTGGAACACTTACGTCTCATCGCCGTGCTACTTCCTCGCCTTGGAAGTTTTTGATAATTTTGCACACGATGCTTTAAAGTACGACTTCGAAACGGGCCTTCCATATCAATCCCATGTCATCGTCGATCCTCGTGGAGAGCTTTTTGAGTACTACTCCCGCACTATAGACCCCCTCGTTACCCAATTCCTCGAACGCAGACATGCTGCCTGTACCAATTATCCACATCCGTTGCAAGGCTCGAGGCTCATGAACAATCTGAGGAGCCTGGTACCGTTCCGCTCCAATATGAGCATGCCAGAGTACATACCCACGCGGCTGATGCAATTCTTCTACATGTTATACGAGAAGTTTCCAAATCACAAGTTGATCAGCAGCGACTTCCACAAACTGGGCGATACGGTGGAAGGTATCAATGCGCCAGTTGTGCAAACGAGATATAAGAGGCAGATGATTCCTGTTTCGACACCTCTTGTAAGCTCAAGAATCGGTCCATTGTAATGGAGTTACTAACGCGTCTCAGGTGCACCAAGGCTATTTCGACATACTCTTTCCCACTGACTTCGATGTCATGGAACCCATGTACACAACAATAACCGGGCGCTTCGCACGAACATACTTACACGAAGACTTCATGGCTGGCAGAGCAGATATCGCGGAGACGACTACGAAAAACGGCGATAATCCGTTGCTGAGCTGGTACAAGAATGCCAGTGTGATGATTACTGTATAGAACGTAGTCACACAGTTAGCTTGTGGCCAACATGTAGGAGAACAATACGAAGATACCAGTATGAATTGGCAACTACTCGGGCTCCTGTCCCTTCCATGTCTCCTTGACAGCACTGACGTCCATTTCACACACCTCGGCATGCTTCAATACCGCATGCGCCTTCTTCACAACTGGTGCATCAATCATCTTGCCATCCAATGTCCAGGCCCCTCGTCCAGCTCTACTCGCCTTTTCATCTGCTATGACTATCCTTGTCGCCCACTCAAGCTCCTTCTCTCCAGGGCTAAACGCTTTATGGCATACCGCGACTTGACTCGGATGTATGCACTGCTTGCCGTTGAAACCCAAACCTTTGCCGTTCAGACATTCTTCCTCTAGTGTCTTGAGCCCTTGCTCGCCCTTGTAGCTGGTACACACCAAGTCAATGGTGCTGGGGAGCTCAGCAGCTCGAGCTGCTGTGGCAATGGCACTCCTCGCGTAGAGAAACTCCATGAGCGAAGGCGTGCGCGTAAGACTCATATCCTTTGCAAAGTCCTCTGCTGCGAAGACGAGCCCAGAGATGTAAGGCGAAGCGGCGCAGATTGAACTTAGGTTCTGTATCGCTTTTGCGCTTTCTATCAACGCTATTATACGCACCGGTTCCCTCTTCCCTTGTTTGCCTGAGCTTGGGTGTCGCTCAGGTGAAAGATGCCGTATCACATCTGTGACGAAATGTAGATCTGCAGCGCTTTCGCACTTGGGCAGCATGATAGCATCGAGATACTCGCCTTTGAGCACTTGTGTCAGGTCATCTAGCGCTAGACCGGTGTCTACGCTGTTTATCCGCACGCACATTTCTTTTATGCCGCTAGGTCGTGGTTTGTTGAGGATATCGCGAAGATTAGAGCGTGCTTCGGATTTCATGTGTGGTGCAACGCTGTCTTCGAGGTCGTAGGTCACGTTATCGGCGTGCATGGCAAAGGACTTCTCGAGCATCTTCTTCGACGAGGACGGCACTGGGGCGGGAATGTTAGTATGGTGTCTTGTGTTGTCTTACGAATAGATATGGATTGGAATGGTGATGGTTTACCGTACATGCACGCCCTCCGTATGATTGGCGCTGCCATGTTGTCTGTAGTTTGACCAGAGCACCAGTCTCTGGATAATTGTTGCAACCAGCAGAGTACCAAAATCAAAGGCCTCAATGATAGAAAGCCATATAGCCGTTACGCACCTCGGTCACTCCAGCTAGCCTATGACGTGCGGGGAAGTCGCAGCTCCACCAAAGCTCCCCCCGAAACGCCGATCGCCGACGCGTCCCTGAGAAAGCCACGTGAAGCTGATCTTCAACACGTCTCGGGTTATTTCCCAATAGCACACCACTCCCACCCCCACGGCATAAGGAATATGGAGAACGCACAACAAGCGCCAGAGCCTGGCTCGCTGAGCTGGAGACTCAGTAGTCATCCCATCACACTACTTACTTTCCTGTTCTTCCGCATCTGTATGCTTCCCATGCCATCTATCCAGGCACCACATCCGTGAAACTCATTCAAGACTAACACACCCACACAGCCTCCCTACTAGTCTATATCCTTGGCCTCCGCCTGCTCACCTCCAACTTCGTCCTCATCTTCATCATCACCATCCTCCTTCTTGCAGTCGACTTCTACTACCTCAAGAACATTGCGGGCCGCCGCTTGGTCGGACTACGATGGTGGAACGAAGTCGATGCCAACACTGGGGACGGCCGCTGGGTATTTGAGAGTCTGGACCCGGAAACCGGACGCCAGATCAATGCGACGGATAAGAGGTTCTTCTGGTTGGCGCTGTATGCGCAGCCCGTATTGTGGGTATTGCTTGCGATTGTGGCTCTAGTGAGCTTCGAATTTATTTGGTTGACGCTTGTCGGTACGTATCGCCCAGGGCAGACAAATGATTCTTGTGCTAACGCGTTTCATGCAGTCATCGCACTCGTGCTTACCATCACGAATACACTCGCCTTCTCTCGTTGCGATAAGTTCAGCCAAGCGACTGGCTTCGCCTCGAACGCCATGTACGGTTCGGGTCTTGCAAGGAACTTGGCTGGCGGCTTGATGTCAAGCATACTTAGGCGGTGATACATGGACGTCGGAGACGTGCACGGAATCTCTAGCTTGTGACAAAAGCAGGATATATTGTAGGATTAGGCATATGATCTATTACTCGGAGTCTACCCAGGGCGTCTAAGATACCCTATATTCATCTATCGAAATCACTTGGACGTCTTGCAAAGCTATGGTCCCAGATATGTTGCTGACTCAATATCCTCTCTTGCGGTTCACCTCGTTGATCAGCTTGCCGTTGCTTCGATCTTGCTTGATGTTCTCGATAAGCACCTGGAACGCTCTGTCGGCATAAGCGTCTGACGCTCCGCTGCAGTGCGGTGTAATGAGAACATTTGGCGCATCCCATAGCGGATCATCTTCAGGCAGAGGTTCAGGATCAGTAACATCGAGGGCTGCGCCACTGATGAGTTCCTTCTCCAACGCCGTAATGAGAGCCTTCGAGTCGATGATCGGCCCGCGCGCAATGTTCGCGACGTAGGTGCCCTTTGGATTGGACTTGTGTAGGAGGTCGAATTCCTCGGTAGAGAGGAGATGGGTTGTGGCTTTCGTCAGCGGCACAGAAACGACCAACAGGTCAATCTCCTGCTTCAAGAATTTGTGCACGTCTTCTTTACTGGTTCCGCTGTACCATGCGCTGGGAATACTGCCGTCAGGGTCGCCAGTACCAGGAACAATATAGCCGTTGTCGTGCTTGGACTCTGGAGTCGTGCGTGGTGAAGCAGTGTAGGCTATGACGTCCATGCCCATTGCCTTTGCTACATGAGCAACTTGGCGACCGATACTTCCATAACCCAACACACCCACCCTCTTGCCTACCCGGTCACTAACACTCATTCCCACCTTCTGGTCCCAAACCTTCTTCTTCTGGTTATCGTAAAGTTTGGTATAGCTATGGCTGTGTACCAGATTCATCATGATAACCCATTCGGCGATTTGCGGGCCATGAACACCGTTTGCGGAGCATAGCGGAATCTTGGAGTCCGTGTAGATGGGATGATTAGAAACGTGGTTGGTGCCTGCAGAAAAGAACTGAATGAGCTTAGTGTTTGGGATAGACGATACTGATTCCGGGAGCCAGGAGAGTGTTGCCACATAAGTTGCGCGCTTGATGAGATCTGCGATGACATTAGCCAGGCCTTACAACAGG